ACTTGGCCCTTGTCGTCCTTGGGAATTCGGATACGTGCTGTATTCGCCTTGATCGATCAAGAATCCGTCACAAGGTGAGTCATGATGTCGGAGGTGGTGAGCAGCTCACTCCAGGTGTCATGGACTTGTACCACTTGTCCTGTTCGTCGGAACTAGGTAGGGTTCATCTTCTTTGCCGGGTCGTACAAGTATTGCATGTAGGCCGGTTAAAGGTTTCATTGAACAACTTCAAGGCAATTTCTGGGGTTGGGATCTGGGGTAAGAAACGTTCACCAGTTTTTTCGTCAAGTTCACCTCTGGGGCACATGTTAACAAAGCCTCTTTGGTCTTAAGAAGTACCGTTGGTGTCCTCGTACATAAGAGCTTTCCCCCATCAGCAGAAGCGGGGTCCACAAATTTGAATACCCACTCGATCTATGTGCTTGTCAGCGAGGGCTTGAACAAAGCCATCATGTCTTTGGGTTTAACGCCGTTGACGGAGGTGTCTTTGCGTCGGTTGTACATACACCCGGTAGCTTTCTTTTCAACAAAGCCTGTTAACTTGAGAACATTCCGGGAAGGGGTATTCTTCGTCTTCCTTGAGGTTTCTGGGAATTACAGCGTGGAACTCACGGAGTTGAAAGGACCTCTGGCTTTGTTGCCGCCGGCCTTTTCTTCTTGCTGTTTGTATACCGCGGAAGTAGTGGTTCGATTGCGACGATCGTGCGTTGATGCTCGGGGTGTTTGGAGGAGACATGTCGTGAAGGAGTTCTGAAAACTTGAAGTCCGAAGAGAGGAAGGTGAGTGGCTGTGTTGAAAGGCAAACATTGGCGTCAAAGCAGAGAGAAGGTAAAATAGGAAGTACTTACGTGGGCAGGAGAGATGTCTGATGGGTTGGCTGCTAGTTAGGATGAGGGATGTTTGAGTGTTTTGCTGAACCAGATTTTGTGACTGTTTCAAGATGATCGATGCGATAGGAATGGTTGCATATAAACATTTTCAATGGCAAAGAAAAAAAAAAAAAAGTTTTAAATTATAGAAAGCGGGGATGTCTTCGCCTGAGTGTAGTCGCTGATACGATTGAGCAGAGATCGTGTAGCCTGGCTTGTAATCCTATAGGTAAACAGTACACTTGTATCGAAGGGGGAAGGGGCGTTGCCAGGGGAAGTCGTGCACGATACTTTCGGTAGAAATCGCAAGTTTTCGTGTGGGAGGGTACTCTATTTTGCCTCGTGGTCAACTCTCGGCTTCACGTCTTACGTTCGTTGTTTTCACCGAAACAACCTTGGTTGCATCGGACTTCGTTCGCATGCTGGCCATCACTTGTGCCCGTCTCAACATTATTACAAGCCAATACGCACGCACACCATCCCTCGCCCCCACCTCTACTCCTCCAGTTCGCCTTCAAGCTTCCACACTGGCCCTTCCCCTTGGTTTTGCACTACCCCCGGCATGAACTTTGAGACGCTTCTTGGAAACTCTTCTGGAAAAAGCCACCAGCAGGAGCAACGGTGGTGAGTCTCCTACAGTAGCTTACCGTATAAATCCCCCGTGCTCTCACTTTCAAATCCTCAATACTGGGCACTTCCCAATATTATTCGCAAACCCATTCCCAGTTCCAATGCTAACCAAATACGTCATCTCCCGTTCCACCTGTTCCACGAACACACGTCGCCAAAGTATCACCTGCGATATAGTCAGAATGATGACACTCCAAAGGTATGAAAAAGCTGCTCGAACTTCCAAACGATCCTAATACCGAAATACCCCAGTTCCGACGAAAAGCGGGAAACAGGAAAAAAGAAGACGACCAAGCTACCCAGCGGAATGCGAGCCAACCCTCCACTTAACACACGTTGACTTCGAAATGTTGCAAAACCTAAACCCTAAATATAAGCCACATGATTCATTCGATTCTATTCACCATTATCCTGTATTAGTAGACAAGTTGAACTAGTACTGGAAACGGAGACGACCCAGGGGGCATATGAATCTCGGTACTCGACATCTTATCTCGGACTCTCTTAATACCAAGGGAGGAATGTAAGGAGTGAAGTACCGGTATGCTGACCCAGCGTGAAAAATCGTACCGGCGTCCAAACCTGTTGCCCCCCACATGATAAACTTCGTCCGCATCCATCTGAATTGACCATGCAAAATCAGCACCCTGCGTCCCTTCTAGCTCATTTAACCATGTCCGACAATACGCCTCAGAAACGCAAACGTGACGAACGACAAGAGGTCCCGGCTGTCGAGAACGACGGCGGCAAGAAGCAGAAAGAGTCCACCACGGAAGCTGTTGCGATGGATGCCGTTGCGGCATCTGCCCAGCCCCTGGTTGGTGAACGTGGACCAGCTGCGGAAGCACCAGTCACCCAAGAAGACGTCAACAAAATGATTCTTCAAGCATTGGAGGGATATGTGAAGAAGGAAGACCATGAGAAACTAGTCGCTCAAGCATTGGAGGGATATGTGAAGAAGGAAGACCATGAGAAACTAGTCGCTCGAATCGACCACGTTGCCGGCGCCTTTCAGCCAGCAACAGAGTTTGCCCTCTTTGAAACCGCAGTGTATGTTTTCGTCGAACCTCTCGTTCCGTCGGGTGATGGCTGGTCGACCGAAACAGTCCAGCATTCTACTATGAATCTTTGCAAGATTCTAATAGATAACCTGCTGGAAAAAAAGAAGGGCGGGTTTCAGTGGATGGACCTGTCGAAGAAGGTAAACTTCCCGAAAGAAAAAAAGGAGCCTTTGTTGTTGAGTGGACTCGCAGGGTCAGTGTGCTACATCCATAACGCGGAAAAAGACGCGATCGAGAAATGGGGACAAGGTCAACGAAACCAGCTTTCCCACAACGGATCGCTCCTGGATTCGCTGTACGCATCGCCTCAGAAAGATCTCGCGGCAGGAGACTACGACAGTACAAAAACAAAGATCAAGAGCACGCGAAAGCTTTTTGAAACCGAGGCAAACAGTAAGCGTTCGCAGTTTACAACAGTTGAGGATGGTGTCAACGCAGTGGTGGCGGCGCTCCAGAAGAAGGGATGCACCATTGAGCAAGAGGGTATCACATCGTCGATCTCTGGGCTCAAGAGCCAGGTAAAAAGTCCGTGAAGCGAAACGGAAATGAAGGGGAAACGAACAGAATGGAACCACGCAAAACAAACAAAGAACAAAAGCATACCTTTGCATAAAATCTACTCTTAGAACCGGGAATATTTGGAAGGATAGCAGTGCCTAGGGTGGATTCGATTCTGTGTTTTGCAAAGCTAAAGACTTTTTTCATCAAGAGAATGTTCGGACAATGATTCAATCGCACGCTTTGAGTCGCTGCCACCACGGACTTCAGTTGCTGCAGACTGCCATCAGGATGGTTTCCGGTGGAAAGACACACTCGAGATGATTGGCTATCGATCGTAGAAGCGGACAAATTAGGTGTCTGGTGCTTCAGCTTTGGCGCACCACGGTCTCCTTAGCCAGCCAACCTCTGAGAGCAGCATTCTGTGTCACTGACAATGCCTGGCACCTCAGCAAACACCGCAGGTCGAAATCAATGACATGGACTGTCTGCTCCCGTTCCATCAGCTTTTGCATCGACAACACTGCTGTGATGGTTTGATCCTGCGTTATTTTCTCGAGAGCACCACGCCGTAGAAACCAGCGTGGTACCTTGTACTCTTTTTGTGTTGGTGTGCCATCGCCACGAAGCCAACACCGAGGAGGAAATGGGGGGTATTGGTTAGGAGATAGACTTTGTTGCCTGGCTCGTATAGCTGTTTACGAGCATAGTGCGTTGATGTCGAAGCAAAGGATCAGTTGACCACAAATGGTTTCAGAATGATGAACTTTTCCCAAAGTCTTCAAAGCTGCAACCTATTTCAAAGCGGAGATGCAATGGGCTTTGCTTCGCCGCATTGAGATTCCAGCCACAAGTAGCTAGGACAGCAGTAGGCTCCAGACTCACTTGTACTATTGAAACTTCGCAGACATTGTGGTCTGCGTAACAGCGGGTGGGGAGATGCAATTATCAGGCAGGAAATGCCAGCTGGAGAAAGATCTTTGTACGTCTCATGATATACTCTACATTGGACTAGTGCTGAGTAATCTCATATAGCTGATCAAGGAAGGCTATGGTAATGATTCGATTCAATCAGGCACCTGGAGCTACCTCGAGACAACTTCCCCGGCCTGCTATTGGCGACCAACCAGCAAAACAAGCACCCAATTTGCCCGTGTAGAGGAATGAACCAACCCAAGCGCTAGTATCCCCGCCCCCGCAATCAGATAATCCGCCTAAAGGTGATCCCAAACTAAGTCCTTGGGATGCACCCGCCGCAAGACGGCCCATTTGAGTGAGGCCCCATCAGGTCTAACTCGAGATGGATTTTCGCATCTTTCTAATTGAGGTAACACGAAACTATAAGAATCTGATAGATCTACCATCTTCAGGTTGAGGAAAAGGAAACTACTATAAATTACTCTAGATAATGGAAGGCAACACAGTTGGACCCAGCGCTAGAGATGTTTTTGAGCCATGATACCACCACTGAAAAATCCATCCATTTTATTTTTCTGCATCAAAAAGATCAACTGTGGTGTACGTTCCATACTAGCAGTGACGACCTCGCGATACCGATAATAATGAACGAATTTAGTGGGAGGCGTGGAATCGTTGCCAGTATTTGGAATCCTTTTGGGCTTCTTCGGAGTTCAATCCCTTGCGGTAGGCCCAGGTTCCAAGAAGAGCAATGGACATGAATCCAATGACAAAGGGCTTGTTTCCAGGGTGGTTCATCTCGTGAGCGACAAGTTTAACTCCCGACATTTGACGCCAAGTGTTGTGAGTGGTCGCACGGGTGTTCATCCTCTCAATCATCTTGGCTTGTCCTCGTCCTGCCTGCTGGCTCTTCAAGTACGCCAACAGTTCCTTCTGCTTGGAGACGAGTCCATGGTACTCTTCCCATGTGTTGATAGGGGTATCCTTGCCCATGGTGTCCTAGTAGTGTTTGCTAGACGATTCGTGCTGCCGTTCTCAAGCAAAGTGGTGTTGGCCATTGGCGGTTGCTGCTGGTTGATCTCCACCACAAAGTCCGACGCACTTGCGTATCGTCATCCTCTCGTCAGCGTCATTGATTTAGGGTTAAGGCTGTATCTTTGGCGCACGCGAGGAGTTCTCACTAAAGCAACAACCGTTATCTAGCTAGCTAGCTAGTAGCTGGTAGGCTACTACTAGCTAGCTAGTACAGTCCACTGGACCTCTGTGGAAACGTCAAACGTGGCAAATTACTTAAGAGACGATACACCAAGGCTTAGGAGACGATCGAAATGATTTAAGAGACGATAGCTTTTGTCTCCTATATTTAGGAGACGATTCATTAGGAGACGTTCCATTTAGGAGACGATCGTTTCGAAATAGAAGACGATCCGAAAGATTTAGGAGAGGATACCATACAGTTTACATGGTGCACTTAGGAGACGATCCGTTGAGAATAGGAGACGATCCGTTGAAAATAGGAGACGATTTAAGAGGAGACGAAAGATTTAAGAGACGATCCGTTTCGTCTCCTATTTTTAGGAGACGAAATCCATTAAATAGGAGACGATCAAAAGGATTTAGGAGACGATCGGTTGCACGACTCGAGTTTCCACAGAGGTCCAGCCCGTCACAGCACTTGCTGCTGGCTATTGCTACAAGAGACTATGAATGTTGCTGCTATCTTCCAAACTACTTTACTCAAAGCCATTCATGCTTTGGTTTGAAATTGGGCTGAAGGGTGAAGCCCAAATGTTGCCATTGTTTGGAACACTTGCGTTCACCCACCGTGAATAAAAGCAACCCAATGAATTCAGCAAGCTTGCTATAGAAGTTCACGTTTGCCACATCTTCAGAGTAACCAGGGACAACTCTCCCACAATAAAGAGAGCAGACACAAAGAAAAGAAATTCGGCAGCAAGCCTTCGGTCTCCCACAACAAAGAAGGCAGATTCAAAGAACAGAAATCCAGCAGTAAGCCCCACACTGAGTACTGAGCAGTCACCAAGGAGAACAAGTGCTGGACTTCCTGGTGCAACAAAGGCAGCCCCACCCCAGCACAGCAGTGCAAGAGAACGTTTTTGTTAGAGAAACGAGGGATTTCGTTCTTTCTTTCCCCCGCCCCGCCGGCTTTCGATCACTTAATGAACGGTAGGGTTAAGGGTATATCTTTTCAACCCGCGGATCTTCCGTCTTGACGACGACAACCACAACGACAACACCACAACAAGGTACATCAGCGACAGCACCCCCACACTACCGGTGTACCTTACTCCATGGAGAGGAAGTGTTTGGTTTTCAAAGGGAAGTAATTCTACTCTGAGCTAGCGGCAGAGCTGCGCAACTCAACTATCTTGCTCAAAATGGCGTCGTTCTGGACCGCTTCAGCAGCCCGAAGCATCACAGCTGCAAAACAAGCCTCCAGCAGTGGACTCCTGTTTGCTGCTGCCACTGCTGGATTTGCGGCAACTTCAGCCAGTCCTACCACCAGTATAAGTAGTTTCAATTCAAATACTTCCTGTGAGAAAGATGCAGCAAGAACCTACCACGAGAAAAGGCGCAAGGAAGCAAGAGCCAAGCTTCAAAAGCGGGTGAGTCCAACAGATCTAGCTGACTTTGGGTAGCATGGAATATCTTCTGTGTATATTGGACATCAGTTGGCACTTTATTGGCTGAGTCTCTACATGGCCTTCTCACTCTGTTTGCTTTCTGAATTGACTATTTTTGGCATAACTATATAGATGACTTCTGTTGGTCACTTTTCTTTGGTGTCTCAGACGGAGAACAATCCCAGTGTATCATCCTTTTTCATGACTTTGGTAGGCGAAAAGCCAGGATTTACCACTAAAGATTTCCAAGAGCTTTGGAAAGAACGAGGAATGAAAGAACGACATCCCAGATTTCATTATACGGTATCAGAGGATAATCCCAACCATTTTGAACCCGAGAAACAAGATGATCATGTGAAGGAAACATTCTTTCCGTATGCGTATCGAAAAGATATCCAAGGTCGCATCGAAGCATTGCAGACCCAACCATTGAATGTACACGACAAAACTTGGGACGTTCAAATTGCAGCATCGGGACCGTTAGGAGTCAGTGGTTCCACCAATGCCAATGTTTTGCGCGATGACGATTACGATGATGACTTGGTCGAATCGATTGTCTTTTTTCGAGGACATCATGCGCTGGGAGACGGTGTCTCCTTGTTTAGTGCCGTTCTCGATCTGTGCGACGAAGCGGAAGAGTTTCGAGAATTAATCAAACGAGAGCTCAAGAAACGATTTCGGAAAAGTGGCGACAAATCCCTGCTGGAGCGACTAGCCAGCAAACTCCAAAAGTTTATCTCGTTTTGGATGGGTGTGCTGCAAGCGATGCTCTACCAGGGACAGTTGTACCTGTGGACACTGGTCGAATCGAATCCGATGAGACAATTGCACAAATGGGCGTTGCAAGAAACGGGCGGAGTCGACCCACCCAAACGAACCATCTCCTACAGCATGGCAGCACCGGTGGAACAGGTGAAATGGGTGGCACAGACACTCTGCGGCAAAAAGGCTACGGTCAACGATGTCTTTGTCAGTTGTGTCAGTGCCGCCATTGCGCGACAACTCCAGGAACACCGATTACGGGTGGGTGTCCTGAATGATGTGGCGGTCGAAACCAATGCACGTCGCCGGCGACGCCGATTGAGTCAAATGGCGAGCATGAACATTGTCATGCCAGTGCATTTATACGGTGGAATTTTGCTCCCTGGGCAGTCTCTGGGCAACCGCATTGGAGCCATGGTGGCCAGAGTACCGGGAGAGAAGACTGTGGATTGCGTGGATCGGCTGGACAAAGTACACGGGACGCTACATACTTTGAAACAGACACCGACGCCCTTGCTTTCCTATTTGCTCGTCCGTGTGACATCCTCACTATCGGGAACTCTGCTGCCCAATTTCTTGACTCAATACTTGTTTTCCAAGGCAAATGCGAATGCGGTCGCCGTCGTCAGCAATGTTCGTGGACCCCCCAAGCCTATCCACGTCAAGGGTCGGCTGGTACAATCCGTGCACGGATTTGTGCCCTTGCCTCCTGGAGTTCCCATAGGCGTGGTAGTTTCGAGTTATGCTGGTGATGTCAAGCTCTCATTGTCGGCAGAACCGTGGGCCGTGCCAGATGGTGATAAATTCTTGTTGTACGTTTTGGAGGAATACCAAGCGTTGCTGGAACAAGCAAAGCAAAAAGCAGCTAGCACTTAGAACTTGAGCGTAGTGCAGGATATCAAATTAGTATAGAACTCCTGAGAGAAAGCTTATTAGAATTGGAATTCACGTTTAGCCCAGGCTTCCAAAGGAGACCACCAAGTTTCTATCTAGCTCTGCAGTTGCAATGCCTCCAAGAAAGGTCAGTACCCACTCGTTATTCCCGCTGGCCCGTCTGCTCAGCTCCCCTTGAGGCTATCCACAGCACCTGCATGAGCGTGTGCTACTGTAGCTGGTAGTGTACGTGGTACCGTACGGTACGTAGTGAAAACCTGTCATTGGTTTCATTCGTTTCGGGACTCACCCCTGGCTGCTCTTTTTACACCACAGGAAGCACCACACCCATTTTCATCCGATCGCTTTGTGTGCTTTATCATTCATTCATACATCTGATCTGAAGGCTTTGGTTTGTGTAGCAGCAGCAGCAGCAATCAAGATGATGGAAGACTCAGTGGACGCGACGTCTACTTCAGTGTCCAGTATTGGTTCGTCGTCAGATGACTCTTCTGGTGGAGCCTCTCCCCAAATGGGCGGTGGTGTGATTCCTCCTTCCATTGCTACCGCAGGCAATGGGATGCCATCGGAAAAGACCTATCATGATTTGGAGGCGTGGTTGATGAAACTGAGCAATGGCATTCCGTTGGCGGAAACCGAAGTGAAGAGTCTGTGTGATTTGGCCCGTGAAACACTGCTGAACGAGTCCAATGTCCAACCAGTCCCTGCACCCGTCACCGTCTGTGGTGACATTCATGGTCAGTGGCATGATCTCATGGAACTCTTTCGCATTGGAGGATCTGCTCCAGACACCAATTATCTCTTTATGGGAGACTACGTCGATCGAGGCTACTATAGTGTGGAAACCGTCACCATGTTGGTCTGTCTCAAAGTCCGATATCCCGATCGGGTCTTTGTCTTGCGGGGCAACCATGAGAGTCGCCAAATTACGCAAGTCTACGGATTCTACGATGAATGTGTCCGCAAATACGGGAGTGCCAATGTCTGGAAAATGTTTACCGACTTATTCGATTATTTCCCACTCACGGCGTTGGTAGAACACTCCATCTTTTGCCTGCATGGAGGACTCAGTCCCAGCATTGATACCCTCGATCACGTCCGACAATTGGATCGCGTCCAAGAAGTACCGCACGAAGGACCCATGTGTGATCTCTTGTGGAGTGATCCCGACGATCGAAATGGATGGGGTATTAGTCCTCGTGGTGCTGGATTCACCTTTGGTGTCGATATTTCACAGCAATTCAATGAACGCAATGGATTGGGATTGGTCAGCAGAGCACATCAGCTCGTCATGGATGGATACAATTGGAGTCATGAAAAGAGTGTCGTGACCATTTTCTCGGCTCCCAACTATTGCTACCGATGTGGCAACCAAGCCGCAATCATGGAAGTGGATGAAAATTTACAAAAGACGTTTTTGCAATTTGATCCGGCACCACGACGAGGAGAACCGCATATTGGAAGAAAGACACCCGAGTACTTTTTGTAATACTACTGCCGGTGTAGGAGCATGGAGGAATGGGTCGGAATGTAATCAAATGAATTCCATAACATTATTAGTAGTTTGAATTGACCCAGTCATTTTTAGGGAGATGGAAGGATGTTGGATAATATTGTCTGCCAAGTAGGAAATACAGTCGACTGAGTTCGACATACGGAAGGAAGCTTCAGTGGAAACGACTTGCTTGGGAGCACTGGAAGTGAGTTGTTGTCGTCTCATGCCAATTCTGGCAATTTGCCATCATCCGCCGAGTCATATCCCTCGTCGCGATAGGACTTGAGATTCTGAGAAGAAGTTGGACCATCCTTGTATCCATTGAGGGCGACCACAGAGACGGGTGGGACTCCGGGGTTTCGTCGTCGTAGCGCAAAGGGGCGGAATCGCAGCTTGCGAGCCAAAATGACTCCCAAGATGGTCAAGGCTCCCACACAGACGAGCAAAACGGCAATGCTACCCTTGTCCACCTTGCTGCCAGAGTTGTTGTTGTGGGAAGAGTTCTTACTGTAGGAATCAGGATTGTGGATTGGATGATATTGTTGATGAAGTTCCGGATGATAAATCCCCTTGACGTTGAGCAGCTCACAGTGCTCACCAATGAATTCGGGGGGACAGACGCAACCCGTGTGTCTGTATCGAATGAAGCATAATGGAACCAAAAGAGAAATGATAGTTAGCCAGCAGCGAAAAATAAAATAAAAACACACACCTAGAAGACAGTACTTACTGAAAGACATAGTTGTTGGCAGTATTCCCAGGAGCAACGGCGGCAGCAATCAGGTCACCTCGACACTTTCCTCCATTGGTACAAAAGGAGATGTGGCCACCAACCGAGTTGGACAAACTGGCACAGTATTCCGTAAAGGGTTTACGGCATTGCTGTCCAGCAAAGGCAGAGATCTTGTCAGCAGCAGCACAGTCGCATTCCTTGGCGTCTTGATTTGCCATGCAGCGAAGTTCCGTTTGCACGTCGACGTCGCAACTCATGCCTCGATAGCCCATTGGACAAATGCATTCTTGAACCAGGTGACCGGATTGCATTCTCTTTTGAAGATCATGTTGTTCGTGTGCGAAGAAACGGCAAACTCCATTGTTGTGGCATTCCATGTCGCATTTCAGATGATGCAGATCATGATCAGGAACAGAGATATGATCTGCCAGAATCAGGGCCGGCAGGATGAGGGCAACAACCAGATGATGAAGGGAGTTCATGATGGAAGATTTCGAGTTACAGAATTGTGAATGTGGGAAGCAGCAGAGAAATGAGAGAACTGTGGTCTGATCCGAAGTCTTGATTTCAAACTCTTTAGAGGTTTTGTCGAGAAAGGCAAATGCTTCGAGATGATGGATTCAAATTCAAACCGAAACGGGGCTTTGAAGCAATGATGGTGCAAGGGTGGGAAGATGTCGGCTCCTCCTGCAACGCAACTTTGCAGCTATCCAACTAGCTAATCGACACACTTTGGTATGATACTCTACCGATAGTCTAGTTTATGCTTTGTGTTCTTTGCCTGCTGTCGAAACAGAACATGCCGCTGCCCCGTAGCAACGGCTTTGAGCTTGGTTCGAGAGATGAACAACGGCCAAAATGTGACGGGATTAACTCTCCCTCCAAAACCAACAGGTAGACGCGACTCGCACGCGTGGAGGTGCGGATGCCCACAAACTGAAATGAGCAATGCTTGGAACCATCGGTATCTTTGGGCAGAACCCATCTGGACGATCCGGCGTTTGAAGATTTAAATAATTCAGATACGACTAAATCTCGCCCACAGCTGGTTCTGGTCCAATCACGACTGGTTCTCGTTTTGGAGCAGATTCGTGATTGGAGCTGATTCGTAGGAGCTTTTCGGGTTAGGAGCTTTTTTAAACCCAGTCTACCAGAATAGGAGCTCATTTTTAGGAGCTCTTCTAATAGGAGCTTTTTTCAGGTATGATTAGGAGCTCTTTTTAGCGGGGCACAAGCTTCAGGTTGGGGTAACTGTCCTGTCAACAACGATGTCGACAACAATAATACATAATACAATCGACGACAACAATAATACATAATACAATCGACGACAATGGCCAACAGCGACGATGAAGACAGCGCTGTCAGCTCTGATGACAGCTTTGATGGTGAATTAGAGATCTACACCCCCTCGGAGATGCTTGCCAAGGGTCTGGGATTTCTGGGATATACAGAAAAGCAGCTCAATCGAAAGAACCTCTCCGAAGAAACCAAGCAAGACCGTCTTGTTTCTCATTTCGGTGCTAACTCCTTTGTCTTGGCACATCTCTGGGAAGATCTGCAGAAAGCACCAAACAAAGAAGACCGCCTTGATTCTGGAAAACGAATTCTGAGGGACTACTTCCAAGCACTCTACTTTCTCAAGCTGTATGAACCCGAAAATCCTCGCGCATCCCGCTTTCAGGTCGGTGTTAGACTTGTACGCGACAACTCGTGGTACTACGTCCGCAAAATACAAGGGTTGAAGAAGTACAAAATTCGCTGGCCAAACGACGACTTTGGAAACGACATCTGGGCTCTTTCTGTTGATGGAACGCATTTTCGTACAACTGAACGTCGGAGCGATACGCGAAACCTCGATCCTCGAATCTTTTCTTACAAGCACAATTGTGCTGGCTTCAACTATGAAGTCGGGCTCTGTTTGTATGAGAGCAAATGTGTTTGGTTGAACGGACCATTTGAAGCGGGAACCTACAACGATATCAAGATCTTTTCTGAATGCGGGTTAGCCGACAAGCTTCGGAGGATCAAAAAAAAGTGCATTTCGGATGGAGGATATCGAGGCTTTCCTGATCTGGTAAGCACTCCCAACAATGCATATGATTTGCCGGAGGTCCAAAAATTCAAGAGCAGAGCCCGTCTCCGCCATGAGCGATACAATGGCATGCTGAAGACATTCCATTGTCTCTCAGAGAGTTTTCGTCATGGGAAATCCCATGCCGACTCCAAGGCGAAACTCTGCTCTTGCTTGGAGGCAGTGGCGGTCATCGTCCAGTACAGGATGGAGTACGGTGAACCCCTGTATGATATTTAAAAATAGCAGCAAGATTTTTGCCATTACTTTAAACAGCTAGCTACTAGTGATGGTGCCGTTAATGTTCGCAACAATCAACCGTTCTTTATTCATTTATTCGTCTACCCACCGGTCCAAGTTTCCCTCTCCATCACCATGGTCCAGTTCGTTGGCATCTCGCTTCTTCGTATGATATGAGGTATAAAAATCGATTTCATCTTGCATATCCGAGAGAGCATTGTCTAAGAATGCTGTGTCGTCTTCCTGCTGCTGTTTCATTTCTTCCCCCCTCCTCTTTCGGTCATCTTCCACTCGCTGACGCCATCCTAAGATATATTTTTCTTGTTGTTGCTGTGTTCGGAGTCCAAGAACAACCATCCTCGTATCCTCTGGCATCATTTCGAAGACACGTAGCATCACATGACCTGCTGGAAACAAAAGGGTGTTACCATCGTCATTGAACTGTTCGACAACGGGAGGACCACCGCCATTCTTCGAGTTATCTAATAGAAATATGACATCGAAAACAAACTACTAGTTAGGATTTTAAAAGGAAAAAAGACCAAGCAAGCGCACCTGATTCTTAGTACTCCTCTCCCATACCATTCTCCTCCTCTTGTTCTTCTTCTTCGTCGTCGCTGTCGAGTCCCAAAGCAGCAAGTTTTTGAGCATTCTTGCTCATTGCTTTCTCCGTTTCAATCTTGCCGCGTTTATACCCCCTCACATCCAAGCGGGCAACCCTCCACATCGCATATTTCTTGAACTGAGTTTTCTTCTTGTTGATCGGGACCTTCAAGAAATCGCACTCGAGATTTTGAGCCTCACCTGCATCGGCAAAGACCTCTTTGGAAGAAAGCTGATGCTTCGATGGAAAATGTAAGTGGAAAGTAACCCACTCTCGTGGGGTGTCCGAATCGTAGTGCTCATGACGTGCATTTTGAATGCTGTCCTTGACATCTTTTGGAGCATTCGAAGCTTCCCACCCCTGCGATCCGTTGATAACGTCATGATCCCATGCAGGCACCGTCAAGCTCACAATGTTGGCCGCCAAAACCCGTCCTTTATAGCAGTCAACTTTCAGGTCCTTCTTCACCCATTCCGACTGCATCGGCAGCAGCAAGTAGTATCCGGGGAGAGTGGCATCATCCTTGTCGACACGAGGGAGGTCTTTCGTCGAAAAGACCAAGACCTCACGGTTGTTTTCCGGCCATTCAATATCAACTCCAATAGGAACTACAACTGTGGAGTTAGAAACGAGAGTCAATAGTAGAAAATATTATCAATTTGATTGCTTGCAGACTTACTCGGTGATCCCCTCGGATGTTGCTTGGTTGGATCCATCTTCACGTCTGAGTTCTTGCGTGCTGGTGGTGATTGTTCCAAAGGTTCGCTCTCTTCAATTACTGGACTGGGTGGCTGTCCGAAAGATGGTGATGCTAACGGAAAGTGCCCACCAAAATTCACAGCGTCGCGACTATTTGGGCTCTTGACGTCTACAAACTTGGGAACCTCCTTTGTCTTCTTGTCTTCAACTTCTTCGTCTGAAGATGTGAGTTCCCACTCTTTCTTTGGTTCTCGATACGCTTCAGTCTCTGTCACGCTCTTGTTTCTTGCTTCGAAGGGAACTACCCCAAGCTTCGATAGTTTCAAAAGATATTTCTCGCGGCTGAGTTCCTTCCACCTTCGGATCTTCTGCCCAAGTGTCCTTCGAATTGGCGCAGACTTTGTGCCGTAATGCCTTTCGTCTCCTTGATCAAGGATCTGCTTGAGAGTTCTCTTTTTCCCTGCTCCAACACCAATGCTATGAAGACCGTACTGTTCAATGTCTTGAGCCAGCTGCTTCTCCAACCAAGACGGAAGCTTGTCTCGTGTTGTGCTTGATCCCGCACTCTTGTTGCTAGCCCTCGATTCTGTATCTGACTCGTCAACTATACGGGCTGCTTTAGGGGTATTCCCTCCTCGTGTGGTTGTGCGACGGCCCCTTGGACTGCCAATAGACAATGGAGTTGCTGGTGGCGTTGCTGCTTTGCTGCGAGTGCGACGTGTAGTCATAATTGTGTGAAATCGGAGCCACCACCAAGCAAAGAAAACATAAAGAGCTTGCTGGATTGAAGGGATCTGCAAAAGATACTTTTCTGTAGACTCTACGAGAGGATGCTACTAGAAAGGATGTTGGGTTGTCAGAACCTGCCACCCTATCAAGCTCAAAACCTAATGCAAGCTGGCAAAGCGCCAAGCCATAATCAAACGGTGACCATGGCGGAACCCGAGGAGCCCGAGGAGCAAGATGCGGGTGAAAACAAGGTCGATGCCGAAAGATTTTTGGATTGGAAATACAGTGAAATAAGGCAAATAATGCTCAAAGCACTGGAGGATGGAGATGTTCCAGTCGAATATGGGACGACAATAGGCCCATTCGCAGTTTATGAAATTTTGTGTCAAGACTTTGGTCTCCAATGCGAGTACACCGATACATTCACTCGCCATCTTCGTGAGCTGACTACATATGTGGTTGATTGCAGTGATCGATCTAAAAATGATGAAGACGCCTACAACAATTTCTTGGCTAACCATCCTCGATCTGAATTCGATTCAATGGGAAGGCCTCGATGGGAAGGATCCGAGGCGGAACGATTAATGAAAGCAGATATGGCGGATGGCACCCACAAGACTTTTAGTGCCCCCAAGCTCTTCTACGAATCGCGAGATGAGTATCAACAATTCAGTTTGACGGTGTTCCGAGGGCACATCGATCAAGAAATCAGATTGCAGAATTATTTTTCCTTTTTGAAAGATAAGGAAGAAAAGCTTGCCAAAAGCACAGCCAAGGCGAGGGAGACGGCCCAGAAGAAGCTAGAGGCGTTTAAGAAGAAGGAGGCGGAAAAGAAGAAGAAAGAGGCGGAAAAGAAGAAGAAAGAGGCCGCGAAGGAAGCAACCAAAAAGAAAAGGACGTCAACACGAAGACGATAGCTTTGCCATTGTTGCCTTTTCTTTGCCATTGTTGCCTTTTCGAGTTTGCTTTTTGGGTTGTTGTGCGTTTGAAACATTAGGAGCAGATGTTGGCATTAGGAGCTGTTTTTGGCATTAGGAGCCGTTTTGCCAGCTTTAGGAGCCGAATCACGATTAGGAGCACTTTCGAACAGCTCCTATAAATAGGAGTTTTTTTTAGGAGCTCTTTCAGATTTAGGAGCAGAAATTTGGAGCTTAATGGAAATTGGAGCTGAATCCCGTTTCGTGCGTTTCTCGTGGTTTCGAAATGCTCGGTACAAAACACAACTGTGTCCCATAATTAATTTGACACGACTTAGTCTCAAAACGCCGGATCGTCCTGGAACTTCATCATTACATGGCTTTCGTCTGAACTGTGAAGTGGTGGCCATTAGTACTTGGTTTGGATTGGGTTGTTTTCTTGGCAGGATCACCCTCGTGGGAAATGCGGAACAGAATGCTCAAAATCGATCCTACAGTACGAGTCTTTTGCAGCGTCTCGGCTTGATACATGTAGTGCAATCCAGTAGGAATGAACTCCTTGGCTGACTTATTCATCCTTTCGTCCCTTGCAGTGCACTGCTAGTAGCTAGGGGTTACGTACTGAATGGACTTTCATCAGGGAAAGATGATACAGACAACTTTGCCGGCCAACTTTCTACGGAACGTGCAGTACTGCTCAAATTTTCACATGCAAAAAAGGTCTCCGTACACATATCTTACGACAAGTACTCTCTCCACTGCCTTGAAACTTTCAGTGCATTTCTGTCACTGTAAAGTCGGAAGACTAGTGTCGATGTCGACGATCAGCAACCCCAGTTGGAACGACGAGCAATGGTACTCATACTCGACTCATGTACTGGTTTTAAATGTTCACTTTCCAATCGTACTCGATGTTGAGATTGATGTTTGACATCCAGTTATTGTGATTGCCGTCAGCATTGTGATATACAGAGACAACAAGAACGCACAGTGAGTGTGGGGAGTGGCCGGATGAAAGTTTCATGATGTGAAAATTTCCCCATCCCTATCATTCCCACGCGGGACGTGGGATTGAATTCGACTTTTGTCAACCGGAAGCCCCCTCCAAGCATTTTCAGCATGCTTTGCGATCTTTCACTTTTCGTCGAAGGGCTTGGCCCAATCCATCAATCATTATCCACCCTACGAACCGTGAGCCGCTGTGTCAGCTTTGAGCAAGCCGTGGAGAGATCAACTAACTAAAGCATCAAGACTTGACGAGGAACATCTATCTATTGAGTAATCGGGAAGGCTAAGGCAACCAGGACCAGTCCAGTCCGTATACCCATTGAGCGCGAGAGAAAATTATCTCAGGCAGGTTGTCATTGTCCAAACTTTCCATCTCGTGTCACTCACTGGCTACCGTACAGCTAGCTACATTTGACCATGAAGAAAGGGGGCGTTGTGGAATCACCCGCCAAGCGATCCCGCACCGGCTCTTTCACGAAAGATGAACAAGACAAAATCAAGACTCCCAAAATGCCACCAGCCATGTTTGTGCCAAAAGATGATTCGGCCATGGATATAGATTATAGCCAGCTGTTGCAGGATTCGGCTCCTACTGCTTTCGGGGTATCATCATCAACATCACTGGGAGGGATGGGATCAGTAGGACATGGCATTTTCGGGAAAGGATTTGGTGGAAGCTTTGATGGTGGAGCGAACTTGGGAGGAGCTCTAGGACGGCTGGGTTGTGCCGAGAAGGACTGGAAACTTCCTGACAACGTCCCGAGGGGTACGATTTATTCAGCACCGGATTGGGATGCCGCTGATTCGGAAGCCACGCGGCGAGCCAAAATGTACGATGAGGCACAGAAAAAGATGCAAATTCAGTATGAAGAGGAAGAGCGCGAAGAACAGCGATTGTTTGAAGAATTTAAACGACAAAAGGCCTCAGGATCATCAATGGGTCGGTCTCCAATGGAATCTCAAAAGCCAAATCCCATGCCACATCAGCATCAACCAACAACACAATTTTATCATCAGCAGCAAGGGCAGGGAAAGCACAATTATCAGCCAGACTTCCCACAGCAGCATGCTTCTCATGTTCAGAAACAGCATCCTTTTTCGCAGCAGCATTCTACCCCATACAGTGCGTATGGTTCCATGGAGCGTCGAGGCAGTGGCAACGACAATTTCTCACGAAGCAGCAACTACAGCCACTATGGACCGGCAGGCAACAATCGCATGAATTTGGACGCAAGCACAGTGGTCACTGCCTCCACGGCATCAACCACAAAGAGTGGGTCCACACGGTCCTCCAACTCTACCTTCAGCTCGGGTGGCAGCAGCGGCATGTTTCTACCACAGAATCGTCCATCGTTTGGTTCTGCCCCCTTTCAATCTTCCACTTTGGGGCCAGATCCTACCGTGCAGCAGCAGCAAGCACCATCTTCACATGCAACCGTTCCCAAGCACGAGCTGTACACCTTTTTTGGACGAAAGCCGCGACGCAAACAATTGAGCAATGACGATTACATGTGGTGGAACAATGGGGCTAAACCACACGAACTACGATTCACTGCCGTGTTCCAAGATCCTCTCACGGGAGAAGTCTTTCATTCCGGAAAATACGGGGACCACAAGTTCTACGATGTCGTCAAGGGTACCAGTTTGGAGGGAAAAGAAATAGAAATGGTCTGGTACACGAAAAAGAATCTGGCCGAACATGGTGCCGCTGCCCGGTGTGTGGATTGCTTGCGGTATCGAGATGCGCTCAAAGAAGGCTCTCAAGCCGTGCAAGCACTCACTCTAGTGGGCACCAGCACACCATATACGCAGGAACAGGCCCCTGGGACTCCTCCCGTGCCTCATGACATTCTGGAGAAACTCACCACCAGCCAAAAGCGCATTCAAGACTTTTTGGCAGGAATGGGCATGGCGCCACCCTAGAAACGGGAATTGACTACATCCATTCCTGCTCTAAAAAGTCTTGATTTGACGCTTGCGGATGGGTGGATGGATGGAACATGGATGACGAGTTTTCTTCTTTGCTGTTGATTTATTTTTCTCATCTGGGATCATGACCTTGACGGTATGAACTGTGCTTTGTCGATTTCTCAAAATAGATGCGGAAGGCGTCGCTCTATTTTGAGATGTCTATGACAGTGCAGTCCATGATCTCCCATGGAGGAAAGAGCAAAGAAGGATTAGATCAAAAGAACCGATGGAAAAGTTTGCGGCTGCGTGACCACGATGTAGCTAGATTTCAACGTTGTCGAGCGAATTTGATGCTTTTAGTTTACGTATTAGTACTTTTATGAGGTTATGCTACCGTACTCTAGATCAAGTACAACGTAGGGGTTACGATGCAGTCATGGAAGGGAGTGGCAAAATCAATCAAAACAATAGCTATCGTGAGGCAGCTGCTAACTACTGGCTTTGTGCTTCATGTAGCGCTTTCTGACATATTTTCTGAGAGCATCTCTCTCAATGTTCCTCCTTGATTGAGCACCGGGTTCTGAGCGGGCCTCATCAAAGGAAAGCTGGTGGCTACCACTGCTCGCGCTCTCGGTGTCAAAGTCGATCCAGGAGGACGATGTTTTCGCCCCTACTAGATCCTGTGTGTTGGTTGACATCACTTCGTCAAAAGGCTGGCTTCCTCCGTGATTCTGGTAGCGCGAATTCGACTTGCTGTTGTGTGACCTTCCAGAACCATTTGACCTTGCCGAACCAGTTGACCGAATCGACTTTGGAGATGCACCCGACATTGCCGACTGGTCGTCAAAACTTGGAAATGCATCTTCCAGCTCGTCGTCCATTACTTCCATCAGGGCAAATCCGTTTTTGTCCGTCGTAATGCCATTGTGAAAATTCTTCAGGGAAGAAGAAGTGGAAGAAGCCGAGTTTCGATTCTGTTGTTGGCTGCTGCGGATTTGTTGATTGCTGCGTATTTGTTCCTTGAGGTCTTCACACTCCTTCCTAGTTGCTTCAAGTTCTCCTCCGATCTGGTGGGTTTGGAGCTCCAGATTTTCGTTCTTCTTCGCGAAGAAGTCTAGCTGCTCGTTGAGTTGATCAACCTTCGACTTGAGCTCTGCAGAGTCGCGGCCTCCCTTCTCTTTGTAGCGAGATTTCATTTCTTGTGCGGATGCCAGTGCCTTTGTGGCGATTAGCTTCGCGTGGTCAAGCTCTTCGTCTCGTTTGCGCAGAACAGACGCCAACGACTCGATTTCTTCCTCGCGAGACTGCACCTCGTGAATGACATCCTCCAAAGCAGCGATCACTTCTTCCTTTTCCCCATTGACCTTGTTGTATCTTTGTTCCAACTCCCGTTGGACATTCTCTCGGTTGCGAAGTTGGTCTTCAACGTCTTTCAACCGCTCCGATGCCTTGTGCTCAGCTTCTCGAGCTTCCTCCACCGTGGTTTCCAGGCTCGATATTCTGTGTCGAAGCTCCTCGGTCTCTGATGATACGTCTGAAAGGCTATGCATATCACTGCGCAGGTTGTCTACTTCTTGCTGCAACTTGGCCTTCGCCATGGTCTGCTCTTTGAGCTTGGCCTCCAGCTTGGAAGTGTCTTCTGACTGGCGCTCGATGATCGCAGTGATTTTGCGTTCCTTTCGCGACAACTCGGCCTCAAATTCGTCAACTTTCCTCTCCAAGTTCTCTTTCTCGCGCTTCATTTCATCGAAACTCATCTGCAGATCAGAATACTGATCACCTCTGGTGTGGAATTGTTTCTTTCGTCGTTCCAGCTCCTCCTCAACGCCGCGCAATTTGGATTGCAGAGAGTCCTTTTGCTTCGTTTGTTCTCTTAACCTGGCGTGCACGTCGTTCAGAAGATTGCTCTGATTCTCCTTCACGGCTAAATCTGCTTCAAGGTCAATGAGCTTTTGTCGCAGAGTTTCCTTCGCCCTTGTCTGCTCCTCCAGCTTCGATTGGAGATCCTCCACGGTTGTCGAGTAACGCTCCGATGCTTTGGCAAGCTGCTCAACCTTTCGATCTCTGTCCTCTTCAATCTTCTCCAATCTGGACAGCAATGAAGTCTTGGAGGCCTCGAGATCTTCAATTTGCATCTCAAGATCGATCAGGTCGCCAGATCTTGTCTGGTTGATATTTTCCTCAACTTCGCTAAGCTTCCGCTGCAAAGCTTCGTAGTCGTTTTCCTTTTCGTCATAGCGGTCCTGCAGCTCCAGGAGGAGCTTAGCGTCTTCCTTCTTCTCCTCGAGTTCAGCCTCTGCGTCCTTGAGATTCGACAAGACTCTGCTGTATTCTTCTTCCAGTTCGTGCAGGTTTTTCACCAGATTGCTCTCTGAAGCATTCTCGGCTTGAAGCTGTTTCTGTAGCTTTCTCACTTGTTTCTGCAGATCTTCGACCTCTTTGGAAGTTCGTTCTGCTGACTTCGCCTTGCTCTTGGACGTCGACTCGAGCTCTTCTAAATTCCACTTAGTCTTCTTGTGCTCCTCCTGGAGCTTGCGGAATTTTTCCTCGACGGTCCACTTAGCTGCCTCTTCTTCCTTCACATGGACTTCGAGATCCGAAATCTTCCCCTGCAAAGAAAACACCTTGGATTGCAAGCTAGAGTTCTTGGTTTTATACTGGTCGATGGTGTCGAGTTGCTGCTTTGCAGCCTGAAGTTCTTCCTCGAGCTGGGTTTTCTGGTGGTCAATCGATGCCACTTGCTGCTTTGTAAGCTTGAGTTCGTTGGCAAGATTGGTTCCCTCCGAAACCTTTTTCTCGAGATCACTAAGAGCCGACTTGGTGGCCTCGTAATCCTTCGACATGGCCACGAATTCAAACTTGACTGATGCCAGTTCTTCTTCTGAAGCTGATCTATCTTGCGTTGCGGCTTCAAGCTTCTCCTTCAAGCTCCTGAGTTCGTGTGAGGCGCTCTCAGCTGCTTCTTCAAGCTTGATCCGCGTATTGTTGGCATCCGACAATCTCAAAGCAATACTGTTCTTTTCGTCCGCCTCCTCTTCCAGTACAGACCTCAACTTCTCAATTTCTTGAGACTTGGCCTCCAAATCCTCGTCCAAATCCGACTGAGAGCGCGTGGCTGCCGACAATTTTCGCTCTAGATTGTCTTTTGTGGCCGTCTCGCTGTCCAGTTGAGATTGCAATTGTTCAATCCTTTTTGTGTAGCGTTCGCGGGCATGGGACAACTCAAGCTCTTTGCTGTTGGCTTCAGATAAATCCGACCGGAGATTGTCAAGATCATTCAGGACGGCTGCGTTTTCCTTCTCGAGCCTGGACATCTTGAGTGTCAAATCGACCTTCTCGTCCTCCAGTTTAGATGCGGAAGTCTTCAGCTTGGATAGTTGTGATTCCAATTCTGTCTTTTCCGCTTCACTGCTCTGTCGAAGCTCCTCCAATTCAGTCTCAAGAGACGACAGTCTTTCCAGCTTCTCGTGCAGCTCTTGTTCTTTAGCAAGGCTTTGCGCCAAATCGTCTCGCAGCTCGGTCAGCCTGGTATTCTTTTGTCTCACAGTTGCCTTCTCCTCTTCCAGATCCTTTTGGGCATCATTCAACTGGGATTTCAGCCTCGTGATCTCCTCCTGAAGGTCAATGCCTCGGGCTTCAAAAGCACTGGCAGCTTCAAGTTTGTCCTGGAGTTCATCAATGTGCTGGCGCTTTTCACGCACGCTGGCTTCACTGGCTTTGAGCTTGCTCTCCACCTTCGCAACGTCGTATCGAAGGTCACCCTCCACTTGCTCATGTCTTGCTTGTTCGTCGATAAGGTCTTGCTTGAGCTTCTCCATAGCAGATTGCAGTTCCGACTCGCGCTGGACGGAAGATTGCTTGTTCACCAAAGCGGAATCTTGGGCTTTCGACAAAGAGGTGCGAAGTTCTTCGAGTTCGACCTTCATGGTGGCGATGGTTGATTCAAACCCTTTGATGAGACTTTCTTTCATGGAAAGCTCGGTCTTGAGCTTTTCGTCTGCAGTTTTGGACCTGTTATTGAGATCCGACATCTCCTGATCTTTGTCTTTCAACGCCTCGGCATGTTCATCCTGCATCTGTTTCATTTCCGCCTCCGCCTTGGTCAGCTTGGTCGCCAAATTTTTCAACTCAAACTCTTTCTCGTTCAGCTCCCGAGCAATCTGTGCAATTTGTCCTTGAAGATTCTTAGCCTCGTCATCTCTCAACACATTTCTTCGATCGATTTCAATATTGTGCTCTTCCCTCAGCTCCGCGTTCGTTTTCTGCAACCTTGAAATCTCCTTTGTCGCCTTGTCGTGATCACTGCGGAGACTGCGAAGGATTTCCTCAGTTTGTAGAAGCTTTTTTCCGACATCTTTTTCAATCCCTCGTTTGATTTCCTCATAGCGCGCTTCCAAGTCCGATTCCTTTTGCCGGATTTCAGCGTGGTGTCTGTCCGTTGCCAAGGTCAGCTGCTGCTGGAGACTCTTCAGTCGGCGTTCAAACTCTTCCTTTTCATTGTGCCGGCGTTCGACGTCTTCGTTCATGCGACGCTTGTCCCTGTCGTCGTATGACTTTTTGAGCTTCTCCATGGACTTCTTGTGCAGATCATGAGCCGCCTTCAAATCCTTTTTGAGTGCTTCCTTGCTCTTGTTTAACTCCTTGACTTTGTTCTCTTCTGCAATCAATAGATCGCCTTGCTCCTTGATCATAAAGTTTTGCTCTTCATTTTCCTCCTCGAGCTTTTCGTATTGCTCCTTGGCTAGAGCCAACTGCTGCTGCATGGCAGCCAATCGCACTTCGTAGGCTTCGTCCTTCTTTGTCTTGGCATCCGTCAAGGCTTTTGTTGCCTCAATGACTTCTTCCTTGAGCACCGCCACGTCCTTGTCTTTCGACTTGAGCTTCTGTTGCAGCTTTTCGACTCGCACGTTCACTTCTGATATTCGCACGTCAAAGTTTTTGGCTTGTGCTTGGAGTTCTTCCCTTTCAGTCTTGAGCTCCCTCTCAAGCTTGGCCTGCTTCTTTTCAAAGTCAGCTTTTTGTTGCTCACTTTCTTCATGCATTTGGGCCAGCTCATGTTCCAGTTCCTCCGCCAGCCCCTGTGTCGATGCCAGCGTCTCGGCTTGTTCTTGCAGCTTTTGCTCCGAGATGTTGTGTTGGACTTCACGCTGATGCTCGGATTCCTGCAGCTTGGTATTCAAGTCGGCCCTGACCCGCTGCAGCTCGGTTTCCTGACGACGCAGTTCATTTTCCAGACGACGAGCCTTGTCGGTATCGTGTTGGCAAGTGCTGTCGTACATTTCGACTGTCCGGATCAAGTTGGCTTTCTCCTGTTCTAGAATCTGCACTTGTCGTCCTAGCGTCTGTGCTTCTAGCTCGAGTGATGTTCGATCCAAGGCGGCAATCTTACGAGGACTCAAGATGACCTTCTTGGGAGGAGGCAAGCGACCTCCTCGGACAGGTGATGCCACGGCTCGAATGACGTGGGGTACCCCAGCGGCAGAATTGGGTGTACCGAGTTTGGGTGCTCCAACAACATTGCGAGGACTAGGACTCGTCATCATATTATCCATGGGCCGGCTGCGAGGAGTGCTGGACGATCGGCTGCTGGTATTGTTGAGTGAAGGAGTTGGAGTTGAGACCCTTGCCTTGTTGGTAGTGCTACTAGGATGGGGAGGCGGGTTTGAGGGTGGAGGAGGGGGCGGCGGCGGCGGTGGTGCATGTGCATGTGCATGTGGATGACCATTAGCCCCAGTAGGGCCAGCGGATTCGAGTTCATTAAAGAATTGCATCTCTTCCATTTCCTCTTGTTTGGATTTGAGTTTCTTGAGCTCATCTCGAAAGCCCTCTAGTTTGCGTTCGGCTTGTTGGAACCTTGCACTGCCAGGCTGATAGTCTTTACTGTTGATGCCTCTGGGCGTGCTGCTACTGACGGGGGTATTTCCAGTTTTGGAGTATCGAGTGGTTTGTTTCAAGACGGGATCAGGAGGTGGAGGAGGAGCATTGGCGGAAGCTCGTCTTGACTTTTGTTCTTTTTCACGTTTCTCTCTTAGTTCCATGATACTGCGAGCCACAGCAGTTGGATCATCTTTGTTTTGGAATATTCTACCCGTACTAATGGATCTCGGTCTATTATGATTGGAACCTTCCCCTTGATGCATAGAAGTGGTGGTGTACCGTCGCCCCCCACTGGTGGTCGTTCCAGCGGGAGGCATGACGGAACTAGACCTACCAGAAGTAGTGCTGCTGTGTCTGTGGCGTTGCGCCGTGGCGGTTGCTTGTTGCATTCTAGTGGTTGAAACGGCTCGCTTGGAAGATGATCGACGAGCGTCTGGCTCCCAATCTTGCCTCGATTTTGACCTGGAGGAAATTCTACCCGTGTTACTCGAGGAAGTGTGCTTGGGGCTCAGAACAGCCGAGGCAACCATTGTGGAAAGAAGAGGATTGTTATGTTGGGTGGTTCAGGAATAGGTAGGAGGGGGGACAAAGCAAAGAAAGGCTTGATCCGACTCAGACTCAGGTGGCTATGCTAGTCAAGTAGATCAGATCAGACACGAGGAGTCTTCCCTCTCCTGACCAGCCTCTGAAATCCTGAGCCAGGATACTCCAACTGCAATGTTCCTTCCTGCTTTTGTGGCTCCCTGACGCACCTCGTCCAGGAACAAGCCTTGGCGCCTCTTTGGCGGGGTTCTTGTGTGTGCCTTCCTTTTCTTGCCAGCAAAGGAGAGAGGTACGAAGGTCAACAACACTACCAACGACGAGGAGTCTCAATCACAGTCATCTACCCAGAGCCTCGAGACTTCTGCTGCTGCTGTTGCTGTTCGAATTCACTTGTATACCTGCAGAACTCAGGACTGTCCTGGTAGAAGGAGAGGTAATAGTATTCTGCTTCCTCCTTGGTTCGTTCTTTTACTCACTAAATTGAGGCTTCAAGCCCCTCTGAAATTTCCCGCTTTTTCCGCCGTCCCGAAAGGACCAGACCAGAAATGTGGGCTCCTGGTACACACAAGTCGTGTAGAAGCTACGAACAGCGGCAGACTGGTAACGCTCATAGCCAAAGCGGTTATTAGCTGGCCGTCGCACACAAAATGGCGATGGCCAGAAGCACATTTTGCCGAAATTCCTTCCCGTGGGAAGTGGAGGAACCGCCACTATTTAGGGCGCTGTCTGGATTTCAGACAATCATGTCATTCATAGCTACCAAAGCTTACGGTACCGGTACAAGCCTCATGATCGCCAAGTGATGAGAAGGGTCGTCCAAGGCTCTCATTTGCAGATAGTAAAACTGAAGTGAACAGGCTCCTGGGGCAGAGTGAACTGGTACAAGATGTACCGTATCATAGCTATTTTAAAATAGCGAGCCTAGCTAGACTTGTCCCCAAAGCCTGTTGAAACCATCTAGGTAGCCGCCCCGAAAATCCATCCCACCGCCGGTGACAGCCCCGTAGTCACCCCCCAGATGATAGGATACATGCAATAAGGCAAAGTCTGTCAACTTGACAAGGGGACAAAACCTGGCTCGAAGAATCTGGCTGCTTTACCAGGTCCAGACAAGAATTCCTTCAGCCAGGATGCTACGAATACTCTGATCCTCACTCACAACCATTCATGATACAGGCACATCTGTGACAACCACAGCTGTTGTGGACATGAGAAGTGCAGCATTGTGGTGTGCTTATCTATCTTCCTGGCAATGGTCGTTTTTGGGGTCTGCAAAGGGAAAGAAAGCCATCGGTCAGGCAGTTTGCCATGTTTGCATTGGTTCTTTGAGGCACCAGCTTACTGGCTAAAGGACTGCCTTGCATATCTTTTTCGCTCATTCATGGAAGCTGAAGGAATTGCCAACAGTGACACCAGACCTTGGTTCCCCAATGCTTGGGTTTACTTTTGTGGCAGTTCCATAGCAACAGCTAGTAGGGCTAACTGTGTCAGTCAAATCCAGCGTGAAACAACCATGCAATACTGCATGTTACATTCCCTGGTGAACTATTTTAAATGACAGTTGTGGCAGCACCTTGTCCAAGCCAACGAATCCAAGAGCTACTGCTGGTACTCTCAATTGGTAGACTTGTATCACCCTTCATTTGGCTCTCATGGCTTTGGTCAAAGGTCAGTCAAATCTGGATTTGACAATCCTGGCAGATTCTGCATTCTGTGCCCGTGATTGTCCCCCTTTTCTACCAAGTAAAATGCCCAGAGATTGTCTTCAGTTTGCACATCCTGCTGTGCTGTTGTTCAAACAATTATTTCTCATAAAGAGGTGCAGCTTTTAGTCAGTCTGTCCATTTGGGTAACAGCAGATAATGAAAAAATAAGGCTAAGGATACGTGACATTCATTCTGTGCTGAATGATTCAATCGACTAGATTAGACTCGTCACTCGATTGATTCATTTACAGTAAAGAATTAAGAACTTGCAGTGGTCACTGCTAAATTTTTCAAACTGAAAGTCTTACAGTCGGAGCGCGTTCCAATGCCAAAGCCTCCGAGGACCCTTCGATCGTACCGGTAGTGTCAAGCACGGACAAAAACTCAAGGTTTCGCCTCTTCTCCATGACGGCAACGGTACTTCCATCTGGTTGTTATTAGTAATAGGCGAGACGAAGCTTGACAATGCTGCGACAATCCCGGCGGTCAGATCACTCTCGAACAAAGTCTCCGCAGGGATTGAGAGAAGCAAACAGCACTGATTCCACGGACAATGATAATCGGGGCAAATACACCTATCCACGACGACGAGAAGGTTTCTGGAATAACCCAATGAATGCCGTGGCCATTTTTGCTGGGTCGTTTGCCTTTGCTGCAAGCTTGACCATGGGCGTGATGAATGCCCGAGCTGACGGTGCAGCAACTTCGGTTTGGAGCCGCATGTTGCTGGGTAGACCTCATATGCCAGAGGATACTGGGAATCAACTGCTTGGCCCTGGTAGTCTATTGCTCAACAGCAAGTCGAGTCAAGAAACTGTCCCTTTACTCATCATGGGATTGCCTCGATCTGGGTCAGAATCTATTCATAACTATTTTACCTGCAACAAAATCAAATCTTCCCATTATTGCTGCGATACAGAGAAATCTTTAGCAGGACAACCTGCCCGATCACAGTTCCCTTGTCGCAAAGATCAAGTCACTTGTGGATCATGTGTCTTGAAGAACATGAAATCAGAGCGTCCTCCTTTCCAAGGCTGTGGAGACTACTATGTCTGGTCCCAATTTGACGTCGAGACCACAGAGCCCTACTCATGGTTCTTGCCACAGCACAAAACTCTTCCACTGATTCATGAAGCATACCCCAATGCTGCTTTCATCCTCAACACTCGAAAAGATGCTGGAACCTGGGCTGATTCAGTGTTGCACTGGAACTCGGTAACGCAGCGCTTGTTCAAGAGTTTTAACCTGGAAGTACTAGAAAGCTCGGATGAAACTGATCCAACAACAACTCCCTCAAAGAAGGTCACTTATAGATCATTGATGAAGGACGCTCAGGAATCTCTGGACCGAGCCAATGAGGTGGAGAACCTCAAGAAGAAACGAAAGCTCTTGATGACAGTCTATGATCGACACATGAAGAAAATTCGAAAGTGGGCCGAGGATTACGGCCATCCACTCATGGAAATCAATGTGGACGATCCCCAGACTGGCAACGATTTGGCCGAGGCATTCAAAATGTCACAGGGTTGTTGGAAGTTTGATGCGGATGCACTTGACAATGACTGGAAGAACTTTACTTTTCCATTTTAGGACGCCGGTTGGTTGCTCGGGGTCTCTATGTAGCAATAGGCGGACTTGGCCAAGTGAGCCTTCCTGTAGCAGCAAACACTTTTTCCCTCTGAAAACTACCTACACACGATACCGGTAGGTATATTTCAAGTTGTGCTTTTTAAAGGTTGTTATAACAATGGCTTTGTGGTTATTCTATCTTTCTACCAGTAGCTTTAGTTTAGTTACATAGGATCAAAACAAGCCTATTGGCACTTTGGCGGAGCAAGCAATGACTACAATTGTACTAGCTACTTACTACAAATAATGTATGCTACATGAGAGCTGGCTAATGGCAGGAAAAGACGCCGCCATGATTCGACCAGTCCATTTCAATGGAACTAATGGCACCTGCCAACGCAAATGTCATGAAGACACAACCGTACACAAGCAGGGAATATGAGCCCAATGTTTCTTTCGTTGGAATCCATATGGAAACTTGCAGGAAACGTCTGAAATAGACGGCGGGAAGCAGCAATGACAACGGGACACTGGTCATGGCCCCAATCAAGGCAACGAGGTCCTTGAAGAAAGGAACCGCATTGGCTACCACAAAGGCCAGCACGGACATGCCACCAGTCAGACACATCCAACGTATTCTCGGTTTCTCATTCAAGCTGCACGTTCTAATGTTGCTGAAGAAGAGACGATCCATCGAGGCGCAAATGGCCTGTGAATTGATGGCATAGGATACCACGACATGAAGCCATAGGAGAAATCCTGCTAATTGCCGATTCCATCCTGGTGGAATAGCATCAAAGAGAAACCCTGGTGGATCTGGTGTTGTACGGTAGGCAATCGTGTCGGTACGTGAGGAGGTCGATAGTGAGAGACAATAAGAAAGCCACGACAACCAACCCAACACATGAACCAAATCTCAACTTACCACTACCAGCGAGCAAAATGATGCCGACATAAACGATTCCAAATGCCGACAGTGAAGCAGCCAAAGTCTGGGGTGCCTTGCTCCGTTCTGCTAGTTCGTGACGAATGTTCAAGAAGAGCTAGCAAAAGAGGCGACTGACTGTAAGTAATGGCACGTTGATCGTAGGCAGGTGAACTAACTAGCAACAACGAAAGAGCATACCTTTTGAGATCCCACGGCAAAACCAATGGATCCCATTGCCGACAGCTTTCGCAGCATGCTCGGTGATTCATCAAAGTCCTCTGGAGAGGCCTCGACATACACGTCGGTTTTGTTTGTGTGGACCGCCCACAAGCACTGACCCACAACGACGAACAAGGCTGATAGTGAAATGATGCTGGCAGCACGACCCAAATTTGCCTAGGGTTCAAAGCGACAGATTGTTTCGTTGCCATACCAACCCAGTGAGCCCAAATGGTGAAAAGATGAAGCATACAGCGTAGGATTCATTCCCCACGATCAATGAAAACATACCATGGTCCTAATCTGCGACACACCATACATGAGCGTAGAAGCCAGTATCCCTGCTTGGGGTATGCATAACCTTTCCTCTCCAACCATGGCAGACACAGCATGAGACATGACCAGAATGTAGTCCCCAAGAACCAGAAAAATGTTGCAATAGAACAAGAACATGACCCAACGCGTGGCTCTTCTTGAGCTGAACATGGCTTGTGTCATTCCAATGAAATCATAGGTTGCCGTGTCATGATGAACTTTGGCATGATCATGCTTGCTGGAGGGAGCAGCAGTGGGCGATGCGGGTATCCGATCCACAATCTCCTCTCCAGCAGCGCTTCCTTGCATGACAATACCAGCGGAAGTACTCGCCGTATCTCCCGTGGTATCATCATCAGTCTGTCCCACACTGGCGTATTTTTTGCTGCGATTCCCTCTATTATTCTTGGGTGAATCCATCATAAGTCCATCCTTGCTGGAAGCGGACAATTCTTCCTCTTCTTGAATCTGCTGCAGTTGTCGTACTTCAAGCTGTCGTTTTTCATAGGCTTCATTTTCTTCGTTCTGCGTCCTTTCCACATAGGCTGCTGCATCGGAGAGAATGGTACCCGCATAAAAATTAATGGGGAGATTGAGAATCAAAAAGCCCAATCCCCACCACCGGCCCAACACCTTGATATCCTCGGGCAAAGCCAGCAACCCTGTTCCCATGCAATCTGCGGTCAACAGGGTAGCGCCCTGCCAGATATTCAAATCGTTGGCCGAGGGGTCTTCGTAGTTGGATGTGACCGAAAAGAGACTGTCATGCCGAGCCAACATGCGGTCGCGGACACTCGTCATCACCGACGAGTCTCGGCTAATCGGTTCATCGGCAAAGGTATCATCGGTGGCAGGACAATCGTCGCTGGTGCCTGTAGTGGCGGGGGTATAGCCAGAAGATCGCGGCATGATGGAACCAACAACTTCCCAATCGATCTGCGCTACTTTGTCTACTTTCTCAAAAGTTATGCAGCAGGGACGGATGCGTGGGTGTTTTGTTTTGTGGGCGTTTTGGTTGAAGACTTGAAGTGGAGTGAAAAAGAACAATTTCAACACGAACCCTACCGTACCTACCGTATGCAGCATTTGTTGAAAAGGTGTGAACTTGAACGCACAATTTCTCTAATTTAATCAATATCCTTCCAGCTCTACTGTCTAGTAGACTGGCTATTCGTTTCGTTTTCTCTTTCTCTCTCGTTCAGATTTTCACGAGTGGGATCCATGAGGGGCGCTGACCTTGAAATGGCAAGTGTCATCCAGTCGATGGATGAGATGGTAGGCCCAAAGGGACATCAAGACAAACTTGAAGGCGTTGTCGAAACCACCGGCAAGCAGAAACAGCTGCAGCATCATGTTGAATTCGTTTTGGTTGTAGGCACGCTTGTCATTGGCCGCAACACCTTCTCCGCGAACTTCAAAGGTTGCAACACGGGAAATCAGCTCAAGAATGCTTCGATGACGGTTGGATTCCCTCCACGGCCATCCATCCAAGGAACGTGCTTGTTCGCATGAAGTGACTGACAGCTTGCTTGGCCTTCTTCAGAGATCCAGATCGCATGAATACTGGACGGTCGGAGGGTGGGGGAAAGGGTCTCATAAGCTTGAAGGTTCAACCACTGACGGATGACGCTTGGAGTGAGTTGAAGGAGTTCTTGTTTGGTGAAAGTCTTCTCACGAGGTAGGGATTGTCCGATCGACCGTGAGCGTAGGACATGCAGTTACGTCATGTAGCCTTGGTAGTCATGATGCGTAGGATAGGACCATTCTTCATCGTCAACAAGAACGGCGCCGTGAGGTCGGACATTGGGTGGACGGCTGCCGTACAAACCTGCCATGGTCGTTCGATATCACAAAATAGATTGGATCAGGTAGATAGATCAATCGGTTGATGTCAAACTGTTGCCGAGTTCGAAAAATGAAGAAAGTGAAGATTACTCCACTTGCACTCTGGTCGGATTGGAGGGAAGATCCAAGCGTTGAGGGCGTTCGCCCTTAGATAAGCTTGGTGGGATTGCGCATGCAGCCCTGCCTGGCTCTCCAAGACTTAATCTCTGTATCATTTCGAATGTGTGTCTGTCAAAAATAGTACTTTTTGAATAACATTCCGAGGACTCAACTGCTATCCCAGGCGTTACAGCCGCGAAAAACTTTCCTCGAGAAATTTAGCGGGAATACGCACGATTTTATGTTTCCCGGAACAAAGAACCATGTACTTCCCCCCTAAGGCTTAAGGAGAATTACTGGGGCTTCCGGATGTTATATGTTTCTACTTAGGCTGTAAATGTAACGTTACGTGTGTAACATTTTACCCTTATTTCTCCAAAAGAGGTGCAGCTTTTAGTCAGTCTGTCCATTTGGGTAACAGCAGATAATGAAAAAATAAGGCTAAGGATACGTGACATTCATTCTTTGCTGAATGATTCAATCGACTAGATTAGACTCGTCACTCGATTGATTCATTTACAGTAAAGAATTAAGAACTTGCAGTGGTCACTGCTAAATTTTTCAAACCGAAAGTCTTACAGTCGGAGCGCGTTCCAATGCCAAAGCCTCCGAGGACCCTTCGATCGTAGTGTCAAGCACGGACAAAAACTCAAGGTTTCGCCTCTTCTCCATGACGGCAACGGTACTTCCATCTGGTTGTTATTAGTAATAGGCGAGACGAACCTTGACAATGCTGCGACAATCCCGGCGGTCAGATCACTCTCGAACAAAGTCTCCGCAGGGATTGAGAGAAGCAAACAGCACTGATTCCACGGACAATGATAATCGGGGCAAATACACCTATCCACGACGACGAGAAGGTTTCTGGAATAACCCAATGAATGCCGTGGCCATTTTTGCTGGGTCGTTTGCCTTTGCTGCAAGCTTGACCATGGGCGTGATGAATGCCCGAGCTGACGGTGCAGCAACTTCGGTTTGGAGCCGCATGTTACTGGGTAGACCTCATATGCCAGAGGATACAGGGAATCAACTGCTTGGCCCTGGTAGTCTATTGCTCAACAGCAAGTCGAGTCAAGAAACTGTCCCTTTACTCATCATGGGATTGCCTCGATCTGGGTCAGAATCTATTCATAACTATTTTACCTGCAACAAAATCAAATCTTCCCATTATTGCTGCGATACAGAGAAATCTTTAGCAGGACAACCTGCCCGATCACAGTTCCCTTGTCGCAAAGATCAAGTCACTTGTGGATCATGTGTCTTGAAGAACATGAAATCAGAGCGTCCTCCTTTCCAAGGCTGTGGAGACTACTATGTCTGGTCCCAATTTGACGTCGAGACCACAGAGCCCTACTCATGGTTCTTGCCACAGCACAAAACTCTTCCACTGATTCATGAAGCATACCCCAATGCTGCTTTCATCCTCAACACTCGAAAAGATGCTGGAACCTGGGCTGATTCAGTGTTGCACTGGAACTCGGTAACGCAGCGCTTGTTCAAGAGTTTTAACCTGGAAGTACTAGAAAGCTCGGATGAAACTGATCCAACAACAACTCCCTCAAAGAAGGTCACTTATAGATCATTGATGAAGGACGCTCAGGAATCTCTGGACCGAGCCAATGAGGTGGAGAACCTCAAGAAGAAACGAAAGCTCTTGATGACAGTCTATGATCGACACATGAAGAAAATTCGAAAGTGGGCCGAGGATTACGGCCATCCACTCATGGAAATCAATGTGGACGATCCCCAGACTGGCAACGATTTGGCCGAGGCATTCAAAATGTCACAGGGTTGTTGGAAGTTTGATGCGGATGCACTTGACAATGACTGGAAGAACTTTACTTTTCCATTTTAGGACGCCGGTTGGTTGCTCGGGGTCTCTATGTAGCAATAGGCGGACTTGGCCAAGTGAGCCTTCCTGTAGCAGCAAACACTTTTTCCCTCTGAAAACTACCTACACACGATACCGGTAGGTATATTTCAAGTTGTGCTTTTTAAAGGTTGTTATAACAATGGCTTTGTGGTTATTCTATCTTTCTACCAGTAGCTTTAGTTTAGTTACATAGGATCAAAACAAGCCTATTGGCACTTTGGCGGAGCAAGCAATGACTACAATTGTACTAGCTACTTACTACAAATAATGTATGCTACATGAGAGCTGGCTAATGGCAGGAAAAGACGCCGCCATGATTCGACCAGTCCATTTCAATGGAACTAATGGCACCTGCCAACGCAAATGTCATGAAGACACAACCGTACACAAGCAGGGAATATGAGCCCAATGTTTCTTTCGTTGGAATCCATATGGAAACTTGCAGGAAACGTCTGAAATAGACGGCGGGAAGCAGCAATGACAACGGGACACTGGTCATGGCCCCAATCAAGGCAACGAGGTCCTTGAAGAAAGGAACCGCATTGGCTACCACAAAGGCCAGCACGGACATGCCACCAGTCAGACACATCCAACGTATTCTCGGTTTCTCATTCAAGCTGCACGTTCTAATGTTGCTGAAGAAGAGACGATCCATCGAGGCGCAAATGGCCTGTGAATTGATGGCATAGGATACCACGACATGAAGCCATAGGAGAAATCCTGCTAATTGCCGATTCCATCCTGGTGGAATAGCATCAAAGAGAAACCCTGGTGGATCTGGTGTTGTACGGTAGGCAATCGTGTCGGTACGTGAGGAGGTCGATAGTGAGAGACAATAAGAAAGCCACGACAACCAACCCAACACATGAACCAAATCTCAACTTACCACTACCAGCGAGCAAAATGATGCCGACATAAACGATTCCAAATGCCGACAGTGAAGCAGCCAAAGTCTGGGGTGCCTTGCTCCGTTCTGCTAGTTCGTGACGAATGTTCAAGAAGAGCTAGCAAAAGAGGCGACTGACTGTAAGTAATGGCACGTTGATCGTAGGCAGGTGAACTAACTAGCAACAACGAAAGAGCATACCTTTTGAGATCCCACGGCAAAACCAATGGATCCCATTGCCGACAGCTTTCGCAGCATGCTCGGTGATTCATCAAAGTCCTCTGGAGAGGCCTCGACATACACGTCGGTTTTGTTTGTGTGGACCGCCCACAAGCACTGACCCACAACGACGAACAAGGCTGATAGTGAAATGATGCTGGCAGCACGACCCAAATTTGCCTAGGGTTCAAAGCGACAGATTGTTTCGTTGCCATACCAACCCAGTGAGCCCAAATGGTGAAAAGATGAAGCATACAGCGTAGGATTCATTCCCCACGATCAATGAAAACATACCATGGTCCTAATCTGCGACACACCATACATGAGCGTAGAAGCCAGTATCCCTGCTTGGGGTATGCATAACCTTTCCTCTCCAACCATGGCAGACACAGCATGAGACATGACCAGAATGTAGTCCCCAAGAACCAGAAAAATGTTGCAATAGAACAAGAACATGACCCAACGCGTGGCTCTTCTTGAGCTGAACATGGCTTGTGTCATTCCAATGAAATCATAGGTTGCCGTGTCATGATGAACTTTGGCATGATCATGCTTGCTGGAGGGAGCAGCAGTGGGCGATGCGGGTATCCGATCCACAATCTCCTCTCCAGCAGCGCTTCCTTGCATGACAATACCAGCGGAAGTACTCGCCGTATCTCCCGTGGTATCATCATCAGTCTGTCCCACACTGGCGTATTTTTTGCTGCGATTCCCTCTATTATTCTTGGGTGAATCCATCATAAGTCCATCCTTGCTGGAAGCGGACAATTCTTCCTCTTCTTGAATCTGCTGCAGTTGTCGTACTTCAAGCTGTCGTTTTTCATAGGCTTCATTTTCTTCGTTCTGCGTCCTTTCCACATAGGCTGCTGCATCGGAGAGAATGGTACCCGCATAAAAATTAATGGGGAGATTGAGAATCAAAAAGCCCAATCCCCACCACCGGCCCAACACCTTGATATCCTCGGGCAAAGCCAGCAACCCTGTTCCCATGCAATCTGCGGTCAACAGGGTAGCGCCCTGCCAGATATTCAAATCGTTGGCCGAGGGGTCTTCGTAGTTGGATGTGACCGAAAAGAGACTGTCATGCCGAGCCAACATGCGGTCGCGGACACTCGTCATCACCGACGAGTCTCGGCTAATCGGTTCATCGGCAAAGGTATCATCGGTGGCAGGACAATCGTCGCTGGTGCCTGTAGTGGCGGGGGTATAGCCAGAAGATCGCGGCATGATGGAACCAACAACTTCCCAATCGATCTGCGCTACTTTGTCTACTTTCTCAAAAGTTATGCAGCAGGGACAGATGCGTGGGTGTTTTGATATACCGGGCAGACCCCGGTGATCTCTGACCCCGTTTATTGTGGTGTCGTTGGTTGGTTTTGGTTGGTTTTTTATCCTTAGGGTTAGGTTTACCTCTAAACTCCCGTAAGTACCACGACTTTCTCAGACGGAAAATCTAGCGTCTCACGTTGCACACCCTCTAAACTCCGTAAGCTACCACGCCTCTTTCTCAGACGGAAAAATCTAACGTCTCAGTTGCACACCTCTAAACTCCCGGTAGAGTGTAGTGTCAAGCACGGACAAAAACTCAAGGTTTCGCCTCTTCTCCATGACGGCAACGGTACTTCCATCTGGTTGTTATTAGTAATAGGCGAGACGAACCTTGACAATGCTGCGACAATCCCGGCGGTCAGATCACTCTCGAACAAAGTCTCCGCAGGGATTGAGAGAAGCAAACAGCACTGATTCCACGGACAATGATAATCGGGGCAAATACACCTATCCACGACGACGAGAAGGTTTCTGGAATAACCCAATGAATGCCGTGGCCATTTTTGCTGGGTCGTTTGCCTTTGCTGCAAGCTTGACCATGGGCGTGATGAATGCCCGAGCTGACGGTGCAGCAACTTCGGTTTGGAGCCGCATGTTACTGGGTAGACCTCATATGCCAGAGGATACAGGGAATCAACTGCTTGGCCCTGGTAGTCTATTGCTCAACAGCAAGTCGAGTCAAGAAACTGTCCCTTTACTCATCATGGGATTGCCTCGATCTGGGTCAGAATCTATTCATAACTATTTTACCTGCAACAAAATCAAATCTTCCCATTATTGCTGCGATACAGAGAAATCTTTAGCAGGACAACCTGCCCGATCACAGTTCCCTTGTCGCAAAGATCAAGTCACTTGTGGATCATGTGTCTTGAAGAACATGAAATCAGAGCGTCCTCCTTTCCAAGGCTGTGGAGACTACTATGTCTGGTCCCAATTTGACGTCGAGACCACAGAGCCCTACTCATGGTTCTTGCCACAGCACAAAACTCTTCCACTGATTCATGAAGCATACCCCAATGCTGCTTTCATCCTCAACACTCGAAAAGATGCTGGAACCTGGGCTGATTCAGTGTTGCACTGGAACTCGGTAACGCAGCGTTGTTCAAGAGTTTTAACCTGGAAGTACTGAAAGCTCGGATGAAACTGATCCAACAACAACTCCCTCAAAGAAGGTCACTTATGATCATTGATGAAGGAGCTCAGGAATCTCTGGACCGAGCCAATGAGGTGGAGAACCTCAAGAAGAAACGAAAGCTCTTGATGACAGTCTATGATCGACACATGAAGAAAATTCGAAAGTGGGCCGAGGATTACGGCCATCCACTCATGGAAATCAATGTGGACGATCCCCAGACTGGCAACGATTTGGCCGAGGCATTCAAAATGTCACAGGGTTGTTGGAAGTTTGATGCGATGCACTTGACAATGACTGGAAGAACTTTACTTTTCCATTTTAGGACGCCGGTTGGTTGCTCGGGGTCTCTATGTAGCAATAGGCGGACTTGGCCAAGTGAGCCTTCCTGTAGCAGCAAACACTTTTTCCCTCTGAAAACTACCTACACACGATACCGGTAGGTATATTTCAAGTTGTGCTTTTTAAAGGTTGTTATAACAATGGCTTTGTGGTTATTCTATCTTTCTACCAGTAGCTTTAGTTTAGTTACATAGGATCAAAACAAGCCTATTTGCACTTTGGCGGAGCAAGCAATGACTACAATTGTACTAGCTACTTACTACAAATAATGTATGCTACATGAGAGCTGGCTAATGGCAGGAAAAGACGCCGCCATGATTCGACCAGTCCATTTCAATGGAACTAATGGCACCTGCCAACGCAAATGTCATGAAGACACAACCGTACACAAGCAGGGAATATGAGCCCAATGTTTCTTTCGTTGGAATCCATATGGAAACTTGCAGGAAACGTCTGAAATAGACGGCGGGAAGCAGCAATGACAACGGGACACTGGTCATGGCCCCAATCAAGGCAACGAGGTCCTTGAAGAAAGGAACCGCATTGGCTACCACAAAGGCCAGCACGGACATGCCACCAGTCAGACACATCCAACGTATTCTCGGTTTCTCATTCAAGCTGCACGTTCTAATGTTGCTGAAGAAGAGACGATCCATCGAGGCGCAAATGGCCTGTGAATTGATGGCATAGGATACCACGACATGAAGCCATAGGAGAAATCCTGCTAATTGCCGATTCCATCCTGGTGGAATAGCATCAAAGAGAAACCCTGGTGGATCTGGTGTTGTACGGTAGGCAATCGTGTCGGTACGTGAGGAGGTCGATAGTGAGAGACAATAAGAAAGCCACGACAACCAACCCAACACATGAACCAAATCTCAACTTACCACTACCAGCGAGCAAAATGATGCCGACATAAACGATTCCAAATGCCGACAGTGAAGCAGCCAAAGTCTGGGGTGCCTTGCTCCGTTCTGCTAGTTCGTGACGAATGTTCAAGAAGAGCTAGCAAAAGAGGCGACTGACTGTAAGTAATGGCACGTTGATCGTAGGCAGGTGAACTAACTAGCAACAACGAAAGAGCATACCTTTTGAGATCCCACGGCAAAACCAATGGATCCCATTGCCGACAGCTTTCGCAACATGCTCGGTGATTCATCAAAGTCCTCTGGAGAGGCCTCGACATACACGTCGGTTTTGTTTGTGTGGACCGCCCACAAGCACTGACCCACAACGACGAACAAGGCTGATAGTGAAATGATGCTGGCAGCACGACCCAAATTTGCCTAGGGTTCAAAGCGACAGATTGTTTCGTTGCCATACCAACCCAGTGAGCCCAAATGGTGAAAAGATGAAGCATACAGCGTAGGATTCATTCCCCACGATCACTGAAAACATACCATGGTCCTAATCTGCGACACACCATACATGAGCGTAGAAGCCAGTATCCCTGCTTGGGGTATGCATAACCTTTCCTCTCCAACCATGGCAGACACAGCATGAGACATGACCAGAATGTAGTCCCCCAGAACCAGAAAAATGTTGCAATAGAACAAGAACATGACCCAACGCGTGGCTCTTCTTGAGCTGAACATGGCTTGTGTCATTCCAATGAAATCATAGGTTGCCGTGTCATGATGAACTTTGGCATGATCATGTTGCTGGAGGGAGCAGCAGTGGGCGATGCGGGTATCCGATCCACAATCTCCTCTCCAGCAGCGCTTCCTTGCATGACAATACCAGCGGAAGTACTCGCCGTATCTCCCGTGGTATCATCATCAGTCTGTCCCACACTGGCGTATTTTTTGCTGCGATTCCCTCTATTTTCTTGGGTGAATCCATCATAAGTCCATCCTTGCTGGAAGCGGACAATTCTTCCTCTTCTTGAATCTGCTGCAGTTGTCGTACTTCAAGCTGTCGTTTTTCATAGGCTTCATTTTCTTCGTTCTGCGTCCTTTCCACATAGGCTGCTGCATCGGAGAGAATGGTACCCGCATAAAAATTAATGGGGAGATTGAGAATCAAAAAGCCCAATCCCCACCACCGGCCCAACACCTTGATATCCTCGGGCAAAGCCAGCAACCCTGTTCCCATGCAATCTGCGGTCAACAGGGTAGCGCCCTGCCAGATATTCAAATCGTTGGCCGAGGGGTCTTCGTAGTTGGATGTGACCGAAAAGAGACTGTCATGCCGAGCCAACATGCGGTCGCGGACACTCGTCATCACCGACGAGTCTCGGCTAATCGGTTCATCGGCAAAGGTATCATCGGTGGCAGGACAATCGTCGCTGGTGCCTGTAGTGGCGGGGGTATAGCCAGAAGATCGCGGCATGATGGAACCAACAACTTCCCAATCGATCTGCGCTACTTTGTCTACTTTCTCAAAAGTTATGCAGCAGGGACGATGCGTGGGTGTTTTGTTTTGTGGGCGTTTTGGTTGAAGACTTGAAGTGGAGTGAAAAAGAACAATTTCAACACGAACCCTACCGTACCTACCGTATGCAGCATTTGTTGAAAAGGTGTGAACTTGAACGCACAATTTCTCTAATTTAATCAATATCCTTCCAGCTCTACTGTCTAGTAGACTGGCTATTCGTTTCGTTTTCTCTTTCTCTCTCGTTCAG